GTATAAATATGAAGTAGAAATTATCCAAAATTAACGGAAATTGAAAAAGAATTGATTCAGAGCAAATATATTTCGATTTTCGTACTATACAATGATACAAATGTTCCAGAAAGTCTATTTATAGTATAGATATTTAATGAAATTCACACTTTGCTTGATATATAAATACATAAGGTCATTTTTCACCGTTGCCACCACTTTAATGAATGGTTTTCAAGTTTTAACGAAAATAGAAAAGCGATCGACGAGGGCGGCCTTCCAATGTAAATTTGTTTACTTCACATTTATACCATAGCCTTATATCTCTTTGCGTATGAATATGTATTTACATACCTTTAATGTTTTCAAATCTATCATTTAAAGATTGTCAGTTGTAACTCTACTCTTCCATCATGATCTGTGTCTCACGTTCTTCAAATGAACGCACCAACATTTTTGCTGTTGCAGCTGGTGAAGGGGCACATAAGCAGGAAAAACACCAGTGGATAAACTCAGGTGTGGCGTGCTTGAAAATTGAACTGCATTCAATATCGCACCAAGAGGCTTCAATGGAAAATCCAAGCGTACGATAAGCGTGGCAAAACATGATGAAAAATCTTAGCTTGGCTGTCAGAGTGTGAAAGAAAATTCATCGAACTACGATGGGTTATGTGCAATCGCGTAAAATTATTTGATCCAGTCTCCGAGAACGTTCTACCATCACCACCACCGGCAGTTTTCGAAATCACATTTTCCATGCCACTAAATTCAATGGCTTCGAAAGACGAGATTATCGAGAAACTTGATTTTTTACGCCCATTTCACGTTTAGTGACGTGGCGCAATAAAAAAAATTTTCATGTACTGCTTTCTATTTGGACGGATTTCATTCACATTTTCATTCAGTTTACTATAAAGAAAGTGCCGTATAAAAGTGTAATATGAAAAAAAGTGACGCTTTATCGAAATATGATAACTACTTTCCAATTTCCATCATGTTTCAGTTAACGCAAATGAACATCAATTTTTAATGCTTTTTTTTATAAAGTCTATACAGGAACTACTGCATATTAGAAGAAAATACTGAAATCTAGTTAATCTGAAAATACGTTACAAAAAGCGTAAAATAGAGAGGAGCAAAGAGAAAGGACGTAGAAAATGCGTAATTGCATCATTAGACGTGCAAATTAAGCTGCTACAAAGGATAGTAAGGGAAAATTGGAAAATGAGAGGCGCGTTTAATTTTCCAGGCTAGCAGATAAAGGTTCAAGGCTCGCATTAATCATCCGTCGGGTACTGTAGTTAGGTCATAACGCAGACGCTATAAAAGCTAGGCGACGTTCGTCGGCTGCGTCCAATGATGAACCGTCCGAAACGTGTGTGTGTGTGTGTTATTTCAGGATTCAAGCTGACGGCATATATAGCGCTGAGTATTTATGCCGGATCCATCTCCAGCAGCAGCCGGCGAAAAATTCGGCAGAACGCGCGCACTAGCGTTCGGCGTTGTACTGTATAAGCGCGACGGGAATGGGGTGGTATCGCTTGCGTGTTTGTTTGCTACACTACTCGCCTGGCACTGTACACGCGGTAAACTGCTCGATGATTGAGCCTCTCGCTCTCGCGAAAAATAAACCATATAGAAAAAATGGTTTTGAACGATGCTTCCCGGAGCAACTCACCCGTTTTTTTTTCTTCTCTTTGTTCGACGATTTTTTTGTCCTCTCGATGTGTTAATGGACGAGCCGTTTGTTACGAGCCGATAGCATATGAAAATCCTTTTTCACGTTTATTTTCTGACTCGATTTTTTTACCGTGGCTTTTCTCCTTTAATATTGGAAATGACTCATCCAATTTGAAAATATTCTCTTGTGATAAAAATCGCAATAACATGAGTCTTCAACCAAAGAGATAGTAGTGCAACTACTCACTGCGGCTATTCGCTACTAAGGGGTTTTTTCTAAATTGTTATTTATGTTCGTTTTTTATTATTTTTTTTTAATAAAATGTGTATTCTTTGATTGTTATGAATGAAATTGAATTTGAAAGCTTTCGATAATTGTCTCTCAAAAATTTAATGATATTTCATGATATTGAATCGTATGCGAGTAGGAACGAAGAAGCTATGAAATGAATGAAGGAATTCAGTGGGGAATTAACGAAAATCGATCTGAAAAATTTTAGAAAAACTGTGTATAATTGGCAAGGATAGCAAAACTTATAAAACTTATTATAATTACATCATACAATTGAGCGTTTCTTAATAAAAAAAATAAAAAAATTGAAGATTCCCATATCAATAGAAATTAAATATAGGTAGTGTTTTCATTTGATTTCATAGAAATGAATCTGTTGAATTGTTAAAAAAAATCAATGTGTATATGAATCGAACGGATGTTTAACCTATAAATACGCGAAGTCGAGGATCGGGGTTAAATCAACCGTTCTTTTCGTATAAAACATATGCAGGCATCTGTATGTGTGTGCGTATGTGTGTGTGTGTGTACACATCTCTAAATAGATGTTTATAACCTTAGACAGTGTATAAAATCTTTTTCCTTCAAAATATACCTTTTTAGAAAGATAAAACTTATGCGAATAAGCTGCAAAATCTAGTAAAATAAGTTTCTAATCACTTAGTATATATATAATTTTTACTACATTATTAAATTTGTAGCTGTATATAAGTGCATAGAAATTGTAATTTTAATTGCTAGTACCAAACGCAAATTTTCAATAATTTGTATCGAGGGACTCGACAGAAGCTTGGTGCTCCGTAGTAGCAATTAAAATTATAATTGTTATGCACTTACCTGCAGCTACAACAATAATGATTTTGAAACTATCTATATCATAGAATAAGCAACTTGAGTAAAAGTTAAAAAAATCTGTTTGATTAATAATATAAAATTTCTTCGATGCTTTGAAAGTTACAATTCGTATACACTTTTTAATTTACAAGGATATTCGTGTACCACATATTGTAAAACAGTCAGTGGAAATATTTTAACAATATTTATTCGATGTTTACGTTCTCACAACAGACAATGTAAATACATTTTGAAAAATATCCGTTGAAGAGCAAATTTGTAAGAAAGATAAACGATGAAGTCGTTTTTTTTCGTTTACCTCGTCGTTAGATACGCATGACTAAACTACCGCTTGAATTTATACATCAGCACGGGTTATATGCAAGAAACAGTATCGTCACAGGTGAGCGTTTTTCGTCATTTATTTTCGGAGCCTGCTGCGCAATGCTGGCTTACGACACTGATATTTTTGTCTGACAGCCAACAATTTTTTTTCCTGAATGCAAGCTATTGAGGCTGCGTTTTACTTGGAAAAATTTTACTTGCGTTTTACTTGGAATAATTGAAGTCTGAATTCATGATTACCGTGGTGCCTTGTATGATTTCTTTTAACTATTAAACTATTATAGTTACTTCTGAGTAGCTTATTGTGAATCGTATAATTATTAAAAAATTTATTTTCCATCAACGTAAATATCTACATAAACATTCACATAAAAAAAGAATTATACAAATTGAATAAGAGATCAACCATGTGAGCTGTACTAACATTATGAAAATTAATAATATCAATGGAAAAATTATTCTGTTAACTGGTCAGTATGTTATTTTTATACGGAGAAAACTTTTACTTTTCTGATAAGCATTTTTATGCTTAGCTAAATGTTTTAAAAATAGTAATCTTTTTATGCAGTATTATAATAATTATTCGTAATATATTATAGTAATTATTATATGTTATGTATATTATATATTATAGTAATTGTTCGTAAAGCATCGTCTGTTGACTTGACTTATCAGTTGTAGTTTTCAAAATCGTCAATATGCATAGCATTACAAGGAAGTATATTCGCAATGAATTACATCCTTTAACAATTCATGTAGTTCCGAAATACGCATGGACCATCAGTAAAGTGACAAGTGATCTAATAAGTGATTTTACAGTCCTGTCACGAGTTTCGGCGTTAAAGGTGACATTTTGCTGAGAATTATTTACTTTTCGAGACTGGTTCCTAGAATGTCCATTCTATTTTTCACTTTTCTCTCTTTCGCCACGATTCTCCTTTAACCGTCGGCGTCGGTACAGCATCATTTTCCCGTCGTTCTTTTTTCCATTGCTGAACGAGTTTCGCTGGGATATTGGCAATTGCATTTTCCTGTCATGGGATTTTTCTGTATTTTCGGACGTAGATATAGGGAGTGGTATCGTGTGCCCGTTGAAAAATCGATGCGTTTTCCGTGCTGTCGAAACTTTGTAAAAGCTAGTGGTCATGAGAATTGTTTGTCCCAAAAATAAATGTGCGTCCGCTCGAGTGATTTTCAATCTGCTACTTTTTCGGATTAAAGTAAATTGAAATAATGTAGCTCGCGATAGAACGAGAAAAACAGAGTCCCCAATTCGTTTACGTTTCCCATTTTTCTCTATTGTGACACTTGATGAGTTAACGTTGATTAATGACAAAAATATGTATATTTTATAGAATTCCTGAGAATGGTATTTATACTAAAGTATTCTGACCATTTAATTAAATGTATTTAAAGAAAACTTACGAAATCCAACAAGTTATAAAAAGACATGCTCATAAAAATTCAATAGTACAATAAATTCATAACATTTATGCAATAAAGGAATTGTAGTATTCATTTATTAATAAACGCATTCTACGAGCTTGAAATATCAATAAAGAATTACGTGTCAGCTTGCAAATAATGTTAGGCGATGTTCTAAATTAAAGTAGATCTGCAATTAATTGATTGAAGCTCTAAGAGCTTATAAATTCCACAATATTTCTATTCTAGAAAAAATATATTGAACGTACAACTTTTCAATTATACACGCAGAATAAATTTATTTCGTATACAATTAAAACGCAGTATTTGAATAAACTTATAGCTAAAAAAACTTATTCACAAACTTACAAGTACAAATCAAAAAACTATAAAAATGACAGAATAAGTTTGCACGGAAAAAATAGTAAAAGTTAGCGTCTCAAAATCGGATTTAATATTCTGTACATTATACGACGCATCTCGCTAGGTTATAATATATCGTCAGAGAGGCACAAAGAGATGGTGAAGATATAATGTAGAAAGCACTGTATGTACGATTCTGTAATGTATACGAAGTGCACTGTTGAGCAAGTATCGATTTATCTTTGGTAGTGGCAAAGGTACAACGGAAAGATACCGAGAGAATATAAAGGTAGGATAGAGAGAATAAAAAACGATAGAATCGAGTGACGTTCTGGCCTCGGAGCTTACTACTCATCGCCGTAACTGGCACTGTCTCCATCATGATCGTTTCCGCGGCTATTGTGCACAGTCGCGTGGAAGCCATCCTCGTCCGCGTGATATTTGACTGTTCTGATGTTGCCATCTGGCTCTCTCACCGTGTATTCACCTGCCACTGCCTTTCCTGCAACAATTACGTGACAGTTTATTTTCAAATTTGTCATGTTTCCAAGGAAAGTGCACATTTTTACCTCAGTTTGAGATAATCCAATTATATTTAAAATGCATGAAGCATCTTAGTATTTTACGTGAGTTCTGCATTATAATTTTGCCATTGGATTATAAAGTTTACTTGATTTAATATCAGTTCCGATGTTATCTTACGATTACGAATGACCGAATTTTCGTCGAGAATGAAAATGACCCATACCACTGCGGTCGCGCATAATTGAAAATCGATCGAACTCTCTCTCTCTCTCTCTCTCTCTCTCTCTCTCTCTCTCTCTCTCTCTCTCTCTCTCTCTCTCTCTCTACGGCTGAAAATTATTTGTTGGCCAGGACCAATGGCCAGCTTCAACACTTTACTGAAGGGTACTACATCTCACAATTTAATGAGAATACGTGTGATAATGGAAATCGATTATAAGTATGCATGATGTTATTTTAGTGCAGATATAAATAACATACTTATAGGCTGAAACTTTTGATTTTAACAAATAAAGCAAATTAAATAATGTTCCTGGCGTATAGTCAGACGGAAATAGCGATCATATGGACATTAATGAAGTTTTTTCAATACATGAGAATCTCAATGGTTAAACTACATAGTACCCAAGAAAACATAAGCAAACATTATTACCGTCTCGGTGTTCCTTTTGACCGTGGTAGTCGCCAGTGTGGCCGTCCTCGACGCCGTAGGCGAATTCGTAGTGCGCTGGTGCAGCATAGTCCTGGTGATGTTGGCCTCGTGTGTCCACCCAGTTTACCTCTTTGTCATCGCCAGCGACTGGTCCGTGAAAGTGCTGGAATGAATGAGCGTCACCGCCTTCGGCGCTACTGATTTTCTCTGCCAACAGTAGCGTGATTGCTAGGAACCCAATATACCTAACTACCTGCAAGTTCATATATTTGGTTATGTGTCTTTTTAAGACCTTGTAGGTGAATTATCGCAAGATGAATAACGAATTAGGCAAAAATAAGCAGTTTGATAGAAGTCAATATGATTTATAAACACCATTGCTTCCAAATTTAAACTGATATTTTTAATGGTTGGTGAAAAATCCATGCCATGTTAATAAATAGAAGTCACGATAATTGATTTCATTTTGACGACTGTTTATCAACTACAACATTTACTAAATTTTCAAACTCTAATTAAATTATAACCATTTTGCATTTCGCTTGCATTTGAATCGTTGATTTAATTGACCCTCAATAGATTTCCAATCATAATTCATTCAAATAAGTCTCGCAAGAAGCAAAATATAAATTCAATACAAAAATGAAAATGAATTCAGCAAAGAGACGAAGAAAAAAATTAAAAAAGGCAATCTCTTCATCAGGGAGAAGTACATTATCAGCGGAAATCGAATTCGCATATCGTAACCACCCTTTTATTCGAATAAAAGTTCGCGTCGACGAGAGGGAACGAATGAAAAATAGTAAAAAGAGGACGAACGATAGAATCGATTAACGATCGTAACGGCGAAATAAAAAGGCCAATTAAGGAAGCCCGAGCGCTTAACATTTATCTATTTTCACATCGTTCATAAAAGCTGTGTTTTGCACGCTCATTTCCTTCACTGCACGGGAGCCACTCACTTTAACGGCCATCTCATGCGACTACTCCGCTGCTGGTTCCTTCTCTCTCCTACTCTCGCGCTTGCACTTTACTCTTTTCGAGGCACCTCGAAACTGAACAATTCGCTGGGCTCAGACGCCTCTTTTATAGATCGTTAAAAAACGAAAGAGAAAGATAGAGAAGCCAGAAAGCCTGCCTCTCTCACTTCCTTTCGCTAGAAACCCCTCTGAATTTCTCAGTCAGTCTCTCTCTCTCTCTCTCTCTCTCTCTTTCACTCGCTCACGTTCTCTCGCTTCTGTCGAATGTGGAAGTTCTCGCTCGGATGTTGTCTTGTGGATCGCGAAAGGAGCATTGTTGCAGAACACAATTACTCAACCAAGCGAATGCTAGACTGTGGGCGAGTTAAAGGAAAAACTCACGGGCGCGCTCAAGCGCGCGATCATTGGTCAATCGCTTTGCTTCGCCGCTGCTGACTTAGTTGACAGACCTGCCGCAGTCTCAAAGTCGTTGTTACTACATTTTTTTGTGGCGTACTTTGCATTACTGATATTATCCAATAAACTGCGAGTCTCATGATCTTTATTAACTTTATATTCTATCATTTTCAAATACAATCAAGAGTTTTTTCTATTTTCTTTTCATTTTGTGGTTATCCGTTGGATGCAATTTAATGCACTCATAAATCTGGCTTATGTCATAGAAACGCTATTTTCACGCTTATTAAAAAAGTATATATCTTTTCGCATAGTCACCGCAAAATAAGAAATATACTGACTACCTTTCACCATTTCTTCTCAATAATCATTTATGACAGAATTTTTTGTCGGCGAACTGATAATGCGCGTTACGCTTTTTTTGCTCATTGTAGAGAACAGAGAAAATACAAGTGAAAAAAGAAAGTATTTATCATTAAATTTTAACTTACTGTAAAATTTGAAAATGTCGATTACTTTCAGTGTCAGCTTTTAGGTTTAACAAATGGATTCATTTTTTTTCTAATAAACGCTGCTAAATATACATTCGGATAGAAATTTATACTTACGTAAGATTTGTATCAGTAAACAAAATAATTTCTATCCATGAAGTGAAAATCAGAATAACTTTAGCACTTTGAAAATAATGAGAAAATTATTAAGGATCAAGATCGAAATAAGATAGTAAAAACAGCCTTTTATTCATAGGAAAAGTTTGAAGTACATCAGATATATTTCTAAGAAAAAAAGAGTAAGATTTATAAATTTTCAGCTTCTAAAATCTACATACGGCAATAAACAACCGCATAATATGATTTTCGATTTTTACAATAACTTAATTTTTTAATTAGAAAAAAAGAATTTACTTTACAAATTGTAGATTTTTCAAGCTCCATAAATTAAAGAAAGATAAAACAAATTTTCACGTTAAATTGAAATTTCTTTTTGCGTTCAAAACTTAAAAAATGAAGTATTTCGAAAACAAATACCGACTCATCTCTGGAAAAAATAAATTAAATATTATTACTTTTAAAATATCCCTGTATTTTTTATGAATTTTTAAGGATGGCGGAATGACTTTAAAAAAATAAAAACCACTTGATAACTAGATTTTTCTGTTCTAGAATTCTCTTATTATAAAAACAATATCATTATTGTGTTCTACGAAATAAATACATAATAAACACGTATTACATGTTTCAAAATAACGTCATTCTTAAAATTTCTAAGGAATAAATCTCTATACTGTAATATCTAGGTCCATTAGCTTTAGCTGCATCTGCTGCATTTGTTCATATTATTTGATGTTTTTTAAACATGTCTCAGATGTTTTGGATGTATTTTCTCACGTAAAATACAGTAATAGTTTTATCATAGAATTTACCTGGAGGGAGCTAGAATTCAGAAACCGATTTTTAAGCGGTTTCCAATTGTTCATATCTATGGCTTTTAGAGTATATTTTATAGTAAAACTTATCACAGAATCGATACGAAAAAAAAGTCCACCGAGAATATTTGTTGTACATCTGAAGAAAATTAAATAATATCCACAAATCAGTTCATTACACTATTAGAAAGCACAGTAGGCAATGTACGATTTATGTGATGTTTGATTTCACAGAGTGCGTGTTTGTCTACTTGTACTCTGGCGTATATGACTTTTCTGCACATCCTCGTAAAGTGTTATGCCCTCAGCAAGCGACACAGAACCACATTGATTGTCAAAAAGTAAAGTACCTCGTGTACACGCGATGCGTTGTTTTACTGCTCAAGCCGTCAGGCGAGAACGGGAAAGCCACAGTAGGCTATCCATGTGATTTTGTGCTCCCTGGAGTTGGATTGAAGTCGTGAAAATGCGGATTGGCGTAGTTATGTTGACGCGATGTGATTGTCACGAATGCCGTCGTAATACTGATAATTGTTTTTATCTTGAAATTATTATTACAAAATAAATATATAGTTTATTTAATTGTTTTTACACGTATAAAATAAATAAAAGTATTAACTACATTATCTAATTGTCATTAAATAAATCGTTGAAGTTATTAATTTTACTTCAAAAGTCGAATGAAAATTGAAAATTGACATAAATAAAAAAAGTTTAATTAATTTTGTATAGAAAAAAAAAGAAAATAAATGTACGATTATGGTCTAGTCAACAACGGTTTTTAAGACTTCTTTTGCTATATCTATTATAAATAATTGATCAGCAAATTATCATGCAGTGCATATATTTATAAATAATATCCATTTATATTTAAAATATAAAAAAATACAAAACCAAAAGTAATAAGTGTAATATGCAAGAAAAATATGACAGTGATTCCATGTATACACCTATACATATAGAATAATATATACGTACATATACGTATATATTATTAACTATATACATATATAGTTAAAGCATTTATGGTCGTTTATACTAAGGCATCTGCTAAATTTGATTTAATAAAAAATAATTATTTCAAAAGTATTTGAAATTACGTTTTGACATGAATCATCCATAAATTATACTCAAATATATATTATATCTTCTCATGGCGCATGCATCATAATGTGTGCTAATATTAATTAGGTCAGTGATTTAATGTGAATAATGAAAAGTGGTAGGTCCCCCATACTCATACATTTTAAATGGATCGAAAAAAATCTTTGAACATATTACATGGCTTTGGCTGACTTTTTCAATACTCCTTTTATTTTTATGAAAATAGTGCAAAGTTGATCTAATATTTTATATCTGCGCGCGCGTGCATGCGTGTAATGCGTGTAAATATTTTTAAATTATGTTTGTTGCAAGTAAGTAGAAAACTTTTGAACTCCAGTACGTTTGATAATGATAAATCGTAAAAGATAATCAACTTTTTTATTAATACGATAATCATATTTTGAGAGTGACATTCATAATAAAATGTATGTTACTGCTCCCTATTGAAAACTCGTTTGGCATAAAAATTTTACGCTATAAAATTGTACAGTGAGTGTAATAAAAACTGTAACCGAGCGAGTGTCAGTGAGCGAGATATTTTAAAGCTAGTAAAACATTAAATCAATACGCTGTATCACATAGGTGACACCTCAATCTTCTCCAGCTCCTTGTGTGACAAAGACTTTTGTCGGGTATATCTGGTCTGATGAATTTGGTATTGTGATATAGAAAAATATGTATCCAATAATTGGCGAAATAAATTAATAAAATACTAAGTCTTATCGATATTTGTAGTAATAATTGAATCCTTGGTCTCCAATTGTTCGTGCACCTTCTTATCGCCGCCGCAGACAAGGGAGAGTATTCACAAGCTGTAAAGAAATGAAGACGAGCATGAAATAGACATCAAAGAATGACACGAAATTATGGGAGACTTGGACGTAAAGTAAAAACTACGTACCTGTAGTCGAAGCTCAGTATACTTTTATTATCATTTCCGTATCGTGGTTAATCCACTTATGCGAATGTATCATCGCCAACAGTACTGCCCCGTCGGTAGACTTGAAATCAATATCATAAATTATAAAAATGATGTTATAATATGGGTAAGATATAGAGAGAGAAGGCGAGTGAAGGACGGGAGAGACATAGAATTGATTTTATTAATTTTATTGGAACCTTAGGATTTCACTCTCTATGAGCAAAGCATAGGTATGTACGAGTATATATGTGTGAGTATGTATATGTGCGTGTGCGCGCGCACACCTATTGTCCCTATACGTATATTATTGTAAAGGGACTGCTAAAAGTATCTTTTTCTCCCTTCCCCACGATTTTAGTCCCTTTTCTACTTCTCACCTTACAATGTTGTAATATTTTTAAAGGAAATCTAGAAATTCATCGTGTTTCACCGTTTAA